ACTGTAAATACTTGAGAATCACTCATACAAGTGCCAAAACGATAGAATAATATTTTAAGTATCACTAAGTACAAAACATTGCAGGCGAAATGATATAAAAGTATAAAAATTGTAAAAGCAAAACTCACATTTTACAGGCGACGTCAAAATAAGGAAAACAAAGTCAGCGCAGAGTCGTGATGGCCTCATTGGCACACGTGGATCGGAAGTAAATTTGACTTCCGGTTGCCGTCGCCTCGTAGAAAATCTTAGGTGCTTAAGTTCCATAATGTGGCTGGCAGGGGTAGCTTATCTCTTAGCATTTGGCTCACCAATATTTACACTGGTGAATACTCAAGGCCTCATAGGTGTGTTGTGGTATTCTAGTAAGGCCAGGTGAACATCTCTTCCTTCTTCAGCTACTTTCTTCTTGAGTTGCTTTGTTGCTCTAACTAATATTTCACTCTGGCCGTTTGATTGGGCATGCTGAGGGCTTCGTGTCTTGACTTCAAAACCCCAATCATTGGCAAACTGGATAAATTCCCTACTCCCAAATGGCATATTATCTGTGATGACAGTGTTGGGTATACCATGTCTTGCAAAGCAGGTTTTCAGGTATGACACCACACATATAGCAGTCTTGGTGATTAGTTTGGATACTTCTGGATATTTCGAATACTAATCCACGACCAGGAGGTAATCTTTTCCTTTGAATGTAAAAGTGTCCATTCCTAGCTTCGACTAAGGGCACTCAGGAATTTCATGAGGAATGAGTGGTTCCTGAGGGTTTCCAGGCCTGTATTTAGTGAAAGTAGGACATCTTCATGTGGTTTCTTCTATGTCTTGTCCCATTCCAGGCCAGTACATCATGGGTGACCTCGGGCTTTGCATTTCTCTATGTTCAGGTGACTCATGTGGAGTTTTGTCAGGATCTCACCATGCATGCAGGTGAGTATAACAAGCTTCTCATGTCTAAATACTATGCCTTGCGTGACATGCAGCTTGTCCCAGGTATCCCAATACTGCCTTGTTCTGATGGGTGTGTTTCGTTTGTAGCCCAGNTGGTTGCTTCTATGTCTTGTCCCATTCTAGGCCAGTACATCATGGGTGAGCTCGGGCTTTGCATTTCTCTATGTTCAGGTGACTCATGGAGTTTTCTCAGGATCTCACCATGCATGGAGGTGAGTATAACAAGCTTCTCATGTCTAAATACTATGCCTTGCATGACATGCAGCTTGTCCCAGGTATCCCAATACTGCCTTGTTCTGATGGGTGTGTTTCGTTTGTAGCCCAGCCATCCCTTGTTAATGAGCCCTTGTATCATTTGTAGACCTTTGTCTGCAGCTGTTACTCGCTTCAGAAGATTCAGCCTGTTTTCGGAAATTGATTGATTGATCTGCTCCTCCTCAGTTTCTCCAGCAACAATCATATCATCCTTGCTCCAGCAACGATCATATTATCCACAATGACCTCTACTCCTAGCATGTATCCAAACACTTTGTATACTCACTTCTACAATACGTCCGATGCAGAGCAGATACCAAATGGTATACAAAGGAAGCAATATCTGTCAAAGGGGGTGTTAAAGGTGCACAGATAGGAGCTTTCCTCACTCAAAGGCACTTGCCAATATCAACTTTAAGATGATAAAGTGGAAATTGAGGGGTCCTTACTTTACCCGATAGAATTCAAATTGTTAAAACCTTTGCTTTACTAAATCTTATGTAGTACAGCTCAATCTAACAATGTTAAATGAAATGTATACCAAGAGATACAGTACATGTAGCTAAAAACAATAATAAATTTCATAATTTCATCACCATAGTCTCCTTGTTTAAACTGTCCCAAGAAAAGATGTAAAATAAATC